GCCTAGCCTCTCCGGTAATCCTAACGTTCAAGCAAAGGTCCTAGCTGAGCTGTCTAGGAAGGAAAGCCCGACTTGTTAATCGAAAAAGACGGGAATCCATAACTTTCAGATAGGAAAAATACTACTTTCAGAGCAGTCAACTAGCTAGCCTTAAACCCCCAGCAAGCCATAGGGGTAGGCGGAAGACTTTCTCCTCTCGCTGCAAGAAAAGCCCTTTTATCGATCTCCGTAGTACCTACCCCTCACCTGGCCTGCGAGGGGCTTCAAAGGCTCACAATGCCCCTTTTTAATAAGTTAGTTAGGACTTGCCTGCATCTCCCCATTAAATAGGCTAAGCAGCTAGCACCTTGCCGGTCTTTGGATGGGACGCCGGGGACGGTGCCCCTTCCTCTGTAGGTACTACGGTTTTATACTTCTTTGGGCTAAGCAAGTTTATACGCCTTCGCAGCCCCTAAAGGCAAGCTTTCCTTTATTAGTAAAGGGGTCTAGTGCATGGAGATTGACCCAGCTCTTAGCCTGAGCTTGCTGGCTAGCTCTATTGGGTTGGTGTTGGGTTAGCCCGTAGTTTCCTTCCTCTCCCTTTGGTCGAGGGACATGGACCAAAAAGTGCTATTTCATGAGAGAGGGTAGCCATAGGGAAACCTGTGGCTGGATGGAAATAGGTAGAATCAATTATGATGGAAGTCTAAGTAAATGGTGAGTGATGACAGCCGGCTCCATCCTTATCTGGAAAGCGTAGTTGCTCACAGGTCTAGCTCTATGGTTCAGCGCTGGTGAAACTATATCCATTTAGGGGGTTTCTCAGGGAGACATATCCATGCAAACAACTATTTTCCTCCCGATAAAAAGAGGAGGAGTGTTATAATTGGTTAGGTAATTCTGATCAACTCGAAACCTCTTTCGTTCTTGTTCGTTTAAGAGGCAGCTTTCGTCGGTCTGATTCTTGAGTAAGCAATTGGTCTTGAAACAAAACCCTATTTCTTAACTACTTCGACTGCTGATTCTACTATCTTCCTAGTGTGCTAGTGTGATCTCAAGCCTGACTGCACACAAAGTACGCTTCCTTCCCTCAACAAGGCATTGGTTCATCTTTCTCCTGTTTCCTCCAAACCAAAGAAAGTCCTACTTTCTTTCTTTCTTCCCAACAAGGACGATTCAAACCCTTGACACATAGTTTCAATGTTTCAATAAATAGGTCGAGCGGCTTTATCAATTAGATCTATCCTTATTGAAACGGCAAGCCATGCTTCAAGCTAAGCCTTCTTAAACTACAGGTGTAGAAGATTCTCATTCTGAACCTGCCTAGCCCCTTTCTTGCAAAGAGGGATTATGATGCGTAGAGCCTTGCTAAAGGAATGCCTATGATTAGGTTTTCTATACAGTATACATTATTACCGTTAATATATTAATATATATGTATATATATATACTATATCAACCTGTATAAGTGCCTAATGACACACTTACAGCGTTGCGATATAGCTATATCATTTTGTCTCTGCTATATGCTCAGCCACAAGTGCGTGAGGATGGAATGTCCTCACCCAATATCCTGGATGGACAAGGCCAACTCCTGGGCTGAACTGATTCAAAACAAAGTTGGGAAGGATTAACCTGATTGATTGACCTAAGGAAGGCCGGGTCTTTCGAGAGAAGAGTCAGTATACCAGCACGGCACGCACTCGATTATTGAAGCGATTGAAAAAGGTTCGTAAGACGTCCTGAAAGGTACCCTTACGATGGATCCTCCCCAATCAACAAACGCTACGCTACGTTTTATGAAACTGCAAGCACCCTCGCTTCTTTCGTTCTATCTATTCTTTCTTCAGTATCGATGCTTGAGGCTACGAATTTAAATTGAGAATAAGCTGTGATAACCGTTCGATAGAGCTAAGCCCCTTGATATGAAAGTTTTCCTCTCCCGTAGGTCGAGTGACTCCCTTTGGTCGTACCTCTTTCAAATGAGTTGAACATAGTTCAACGAATTCTCTAGCGACTCCCGTTGGTCGTACGTAGGTCGAGTGACTCGAAGAGGCGAAAGGGCGCTTTGGGACCGTTTCGTAAAACTAAAGAGAAGGCGAATACCGATCAAAAGCCTTGTCCTACTCCTATTCTATGAAGTCCGGTTTCCTCTTTCTATCACTGTATCTTAAGCAATGCAGTGTAAGCCTCCAACGTTATTACGCTGGATGCTATGAGAAAGGGGATCTACCGGTTGCTCTGACGCGCACGGGGATCCTTCTCATATTCGAATATTCGAAAGATTATTAGAAGGAGGGCAGATTTATGGGTCAGAATATATCTGTCATGGTTTACTATTAATAGAATAATAGAATTAGACCTGTCACGAAGAGAATCTCTTCAAAGACATTTAGTTCTATTGTAGATCCCATTCAAGATATTGATTCTGTTACAGAGATTCTTTCCCTTATCAAAATTATCAAAAGATATGGCAAAGAACTCTTATCCCGTCAGTCCCTCTTACTCAAGGGAGTCCTACCTGGAAGTCAACGCCTTTGAGCGAATCCCGTCATGCTAACATCTTTGTCAACTTGACACAGGAGATGGCAGCATTTATGTATAACGTGAACAAAATTCACGCTATACAAGATGGCATATACTCTCCCGGTGTATTGTGGAAAGAGATGATATTGTATCCTCTCGATATTCGCAATACTACTCGGATAGCTCATGAATGGTTTGAAGAGTCGATAGGTCGCTATATGGCGACTATTACTCAGGCCTATCAAGGCATTCCGTTGTACACGGGTAGGTTGTCTCAGCAATTTCCTGGAGCCGTTCTTTGCCATATGTAATTATATGAGGTCCATGATTGGGCGATGGAAGCCCTATGGATGGGACCAAAGAAACCCTTAATGTTACTAAGAGAGAAAGCTAAAAATCATACATATTGTTTTGATTTGAAGAGTGCCACTGATAGGTGGCCTCTCCCAGTTATATTTGAGGTGTTCTCCTTATTCTTTGGCCCTACCTATGCTTCGTCTGTGGTGAACGCAGCATTAGGTCTAAATACATTTCTAGTTAACTATTTAACTATCCAATAGTTAAAAGAGGTATCCTTTAGGGCAGGTAAACCACTTGGCTATTACGGCTCTTGGGCCTTGTTCTCACTATCCCATCATGGAACTGGCTTATCCGAACAGTAATCACCAATTCAAGGATTATGCTATCCTTGGTGATGATGTACTCATCACTGATGGTAACGTAGCTAGGACATATCGAGAAATCCTTAGTAAATTAGGTGTAGAGATCTCAGAGAGTAAGAGTATTACTTCTAAGACCGGCTGCATTGAGTTTGCTAAGCGATTTTGGGTTAAGGGAATGCAGCGTGATATCACACAAATAGCTCTATCGGCTTAGTGACTGTTATAATGTTAGTAGTACTAACATTATACAACGACTCGCAGGAGCTGGCTATAGAGTTAGAGCGCGCTTAATGTCAACCCAAGGAGCGCATTAAGGCTGTCCAACGTAAAGTACAGTATCAACGAATGCAATTGCCTATATATTTATGGATTGGACGAGGTATGCCTCTCAATCCATATCTCCGGAGGGAAAGGAGCTCCTGACGAGCTTTTCATTGATGGATTCAATGAGCGTACTGTGCTCCGTAACTGGATGTCGCAGTGGCTCAAATGGGTTCACTGGTACTATGATGTCCGAGAATGTAAATATCCAGGATTGTCTGAATGCAACAACATGGAAGAGATCAAAGAAAGACGAGAATCTCGTCCGTTTTGGTCATCTGTGGAAATTGTATGATATGGCAGCAGGATGGAAGTTATCCCCCATATGTATTGGATCCCTCTACCAAGGTAGAGTTCCCCGGATGGTTTTACTGGGAAATATCCCCCGTAGAATTGGGACGTAAGAATGTTAGAACCCCCCACTATTCTACGGGAATCGGCATCCTTTGACCGGGGAAAACGAATAATGAAATTAATGAAATAAGGTTTTGGCATAGGGTTCAAAGGGCTTTTCTACTCATAAACTAACATAAACTAAGGGGTCGGATTTCCACTTTCTTTAGATCTTTATATTCGTCTAACTATCGCAGGTTCGGATGATTGATTCGCCCGAACTCAAATTTGTTCTGGGTTAAGTCCCATACGTATTTGCCTTACTTCTTCGACAACCCAAGCTAGAGAAGTAAGACTTCATTTTTGCTTTCCTTGATCAACAGGCCGTCAATCCTTTCTTCGACCTCAAGAGATTGAACAAAGAAGCCCCATTGATTGGATTGAGCAAACAACAGCCCCCCGATCAGCTAAGCTAGAGAGCATATATCCTACTATCCTACTCGTTCTTGCATTACGCGCCTGAACGAACAATGCCTCTTATTTATACGTTTATACGAAGTGTGGGAGATCGTTTCCCCATCCTCCAATGCTCCCGCCCAGTTGCTAATGCTAGCTTCCAGAGCGGGGAAGAAGCACTACTGTGAAATCGATCTTTATATTTTCTGTTAGATCGTGATGTAAGTCTATTATTCCTTGCATCATATCTGCACATCAAACTTGAAATTTTAACTAAGAGTGAGTGTACCATCATTTGGTTTGTTGTCCCAACCAACCCTGTAGCGCTAGCGCTTCGCGTTCCATTCGCTAATAACGCTAATAAGTAGTCGTCGTCTGACCACCGCCCGTGCCCGTCTCGCCCTAAATGGAATGGTTACGCTGCGCCCCGACCCGAGTCCCCACGTCCGCTCGAAACCCAATAAGTTGGCTTTGCCAACAACATTAGGGCCGTAGAATGAAGGAGACGGCCCGGGCTGGCTTTTTGGGAAGCCCGTTCCCACCGCGCTCACGGCCCCGGCTGGCCTGCCAGCGGTAGTGGGAATTCTCCCGTTCCCTGGTAAAATACTTGGTTGGATGCGGGATCTACTCCACGAGGAGCGGTACGGACGTAGATGATATCATCACGACCCCTCTTTTCGTACCGCTAGGGATGCTTAACGCCACTTCGCCAACTGGCGTTACCTGCGCTTTCGTGTATCTCAGTGTGGTCAGCACTGGGTGTTTCCGAGCAGCGAGGCTTACACCCATTCGCATTAGTTCATCCAAAGTTCCTTACCCTTATGCACGAATTATTGAAGAAGCCATCTTCCTATCAAGGTGAAGGAGTCAGCTGAGCATCTCAGCGGCGGGATTGAATACCCGGATAAAATCAGAGTTCACGCCGCCCGCCCTGAACAAATAGGAGGCGTGGGCCACTGGTCGCACATAAGCCGCCGGGTCGCACGACAGAAGAACACCCAACATAGAGATGCACACTCCTCCATGTGAAATATTCATCTTCATGTTCACTTTTTGGTAGTAGTCGTGACCAACAGCCATCAGCTGTCGGCTCGTTGGTAAGGTGAGAGCTTCATCTAAATAAACATAATCCCCATTTTCATAACCTTGCTCTTCTGTTAAGGGTGTCTCCTCTTCCCTAATCACCAGCCGGGTAAATTCTTCGGGAGACCAGCTGGATGGCAAGCCCCCCCCTCCTATTTCCTCTATCTTCTCTTGAAAGAAACGAAGAATTCTATTTTCACTCAGCTCTTGTGGAGAAGCGGAACTAGATGGAGAAATGGAAATATCCGACCAATCGCTGGGCGAAAAACGAGTTGGATTGAATTCGGATCCATATTGATAAATGCAAAGCTTTCGTTTCATGGTCATGGCAACTTCTTCTTTTTTGAGTAAGTAAGGCATGTGGGCTTCCCACTTATAGCAGGTATGCAACCAACCCTGCTTCCGCCTCTTGTCCCTATATGAGATTTAAAAAGTACTTCTCATTTCATATGTGATAAGGAAAAAGTTGTTCCGACTTTGTCTCGGAAACAAAGATATGGGAAAAAAAGGCTATGCCGGTACTGATGCTACCAAAAGATACGTATAGTCAAGTAGGTTATTGAAAATAGTTAAACGAATCGCTCTATATAAAGCTGAATCTCCTATCGTTATTCCATTTCCCGAAGGCTAGAATAACGTGATAATCCGGAGTTTTCACTGTGAACAGTTCTTTCTTTTTTTTGAAAGGAGATTTCGTTAGATAAGAGAAGAGTGAAGGGGTGATTTAATATGACTATCGATGACTTTGTTCATAAGATCTTTGGTAAGTAGAAAAATAAGATTCATCGAGATGGAAGAATTGTTGGGTTCGATTCCCATAGCCCCGGTGTGGAATCAAGAATGATTCAACGATATATGAAATGCCTGCATTAAGATTTAAAACTTGTCGTCTACTTTCAGGAAATGTTTGGAAAAGAAAACTGACAATAGTACAACGCCGTATTCTCGGAAGATTGAGGAACAAGAAGAGATCTATTAAGAGAAAGATTGATTCGAGAAAAAATATTAACAGTTACATCCAATTACAAACTACACGAAAGTTGTCCCTTTTTTATGGAAATTTACCCATCACAGAGATGCACAGAGGAACAAAACGAACTTCATATATCCCTTTTCTCCTCAATCCAGAAACAAGATCGGACGTTATTCCGGTTCGTCTCCATTTTTGTGAAACTATTCCTCAAGCAAGGCAGCCGATAAGTCATCGAAAAGTGTGTGTGAATAATGGAATGGTAAACATTACTCATTTTAGACTCTCCCACGGTGATATAATATCTTTTCAAGAAAATGATGCGAGAACCCGCGGTGAAGAAATCGGAAAAAGAATAGGCAAATCACAAAATTTCCAGTTGCGTTCTGCTATGCAAGAAGAATACTTAGAAAGAACAAAGAAGTTTGGATCCGAAAAAGTATGCTTAGGTAGTTATTTCGCTGAGCACAACAGAATGAAGAGGAATTTTTATAATTTCCAATCCCTATTCTTATCGAAGAAAAACCGAAATATTCCTACTCGAATAAGAAGTCACAACTCTTCCTTATCTTCTTTATATAGTAATTCGACCTATTGCTCCGCATCCCCCCAGAAGTTTACTAGGAAGAGAAGAATCAAAAGGATTGAACTACCTACTCATTATTCGGAGGTGAATCATAGAACACCAAAAGCTGTGGTATCTTATGGACCTAACATAGGTCATATCCCTCACGACATAAGATTGAAAGATCCAAACCTTCTTCTTCGGAGCGGAAACGGACGTGGCCAAAACATATAAACATATAAAGATCGTAGCCGTCAGTCTACATAAGGTGCTTTCGAGTTCTAAGAGTTTTCTTTCACTTATAGATTCATAGATTCAAGCGAGGTACGAAGTTGCTAGAGTGTAACGATTCGTTTCAAATGAGTTGAACATAGTTCAACGAACAACGATTCTGTTATAACCTCATAGAATAAAGGTATTTTAGGTGTTCTACCCATTTCATGACTCTAATTTGTTTTTTATTTGAAGTTTGAGTAGGATATATAAAGGTTAGCCTAATAGGCGTGCTAGGCCATTGGCAAATTTCTGATTAGGATATCTAACCCGGGGCATTTTCAAGACTAGTCAAGACTAGATAGTATCTAGCTCATCTCAAACCCGTTGAGTGTACTCCCTATGACTCATCTATGAGAGGTTATAAGCTCCAAAAGCTATAATATGTCAATAACATACAGATGAGAACGGATTTTAACTCAAAGTGTGCCACTACCCAGGTTATACACTCACTCTAGTATGGGGAAGATAGGTTCTTCTTGGGCCATGCAGTGGTAGAACCAGGCGTTATGTGGACTGTACGGCCAGAACCGAAAGGTTCGCGGAAAGGTGTATGTCTTTTAAATAATCAATAATCATTGCTATTCAATCGAAATATCATAAATATCATAATAGAAATAATAGAAGAAATGGGTCGGATCCTAGCGTAGAGAAATGCTATCCGACTTGAATGATCAGATTGGCTTGTACCAAACCCTATAGGCAGGCAGGCCGCTGTCCGTCTTCATGGCCGGACAATTCTATACGAACTATACGAAGAAGCAGGGATTCGTTTCAAATGAGTT